CGTAATTTTAATCCGATTTTAATAATTTTCAACGCTTTGCTTTTATGTGGCAAGCACAATAACCACACCGAGTTTGGTACAAATTGGTAGAACGGTTACCGATATACATATATGTGATCATAAGTGGGCGGTGCCCCGCCCTTTTCCAAAATTTTACCATAAACGTATTTCTTGGTAAAGAATTGTTGCAAGCATCAATTTTGAATAAATTAGCTTCAATATTTACTGATTTATCGAAGATTTTGTATTTCTCTAAATTACCGTTATATGGGATGTGGGCGTGGTTATTGTCCGATTTTAGAAATTTTCGGCCAGTTGGTATGCTGTACCAGGACCAACAACTGTGCCAAGTTTGGAAGAAATTGGTGCAGCGGTTACCAAGATATACACATGTAACCATAAGTGGGCGTGGCTACGCCCATTTTCCAAAAATTTATAATATTCTTATTTTTCGTCTAAAAATTATTGTAAATATCAATTTTGAGTGAATTATCTTTAGTAGGTACTAAAATATCGCAGTTTTCGTATTTCTGGAATAATAATTTTTAATAATTATGGGCGTGGTTAAAGTCCGATTTCGCCCATTTTCAATACCAACCTACCTTGGATTAAGGGAAACCTACATACCAAATTTCGTTGAGATATCTCAATTTTTGCTCGAGTTATCGTGTACACGGACAGACGGACAGACGGACAGACGGACAGACGGACGGACAGACAGACATGGCTTAATCGATTTCTTTTTTCATCCTGATCATTTATGTATACATTTGTCTATATCTATCTCGATTCGTTTTGGCTGTTACAAACAACCGTTATGTGAACAAAATTAATATACCCTTGTGCACAAGTGCGCTCGGGTATAAAAATTTTGTAAATTATTAGAACATTGAACGAGTGCTTAACCTATAAAATGTTTTCATCTAGTAGTCAAAGTTCAAAAGGGGCATATTATATTAAAAACAAGTAAGAGCAGCGCTGTCTTCGGCTATGCCGAAGGATTCATACCTTTCATGAACATCTGCAAATTTTACTTTGACAGATTACTGCTTTTGAATACATCTGCATACATCGATAGAGGAGTTACATACTTATATAAAAAATCGCATCTAAACAATCAGAGGTATGGAAGATATACTTTATATGGCACCAATCTAAGTGATTTTCACTGCTATGTGATCGGTATGTAAACCGGTAACACAATTTATTGGGTTTAGTTTCCTACATAAAGGAGATATATGGCAAAAACTGGTATCTGAACAATCAGTGCTATAGGAGATAAAGCTTATACAGCATAGATTTTGACGATTTTCTCAGTAGACTTTGTATTATTATTTATAAAATATCTTACGAAATTTATCGGTTTTAGCTGTTCAAATAAAGGAGTTTTACAGTAAAATCCCATATCTGAACAATCAGATGTATGGAAGATATATGTTGTAGTCATCCGATCCTTGTTATTTTCACTGTAAGTATTCTGTTAATAATGAGTGAAAATGGTGCGAAATTTCATGTTCCTAGCTGCATAAATGGAGGAGTTATGATAAAAGACCTCATATCTGAACAATCAGTTGTATGGGGGCTGCAGGTTATAGTGACCCGATCTTTGTTATTTTCGCTGTAAGTCTTCTGTTGATAATGAGTGAAAACAGCGCGAAATTTCATGGTCCTAGCTACATAAATGGATGAATTATAACGAAAAATCTCATATCTGAACAATCAGTTGTATGGGAGCTATAGGTTATAGTGGTCCGATTCTTCCGGTTCCGACAAATGATTAATACATTATAAAAATACACCCACCTACCAAATTTGATCCGGATATCTCGAAAACTGAGAGACTAGATTGCATACAAACAGACAGACAGACGGGCAGACGGACAGACGGACAGACGGACATGGCTAAATCAACTCAGCTCGACGTTCTGATCATATCAGTATACATTTTCATGGGTCTATCTCTTTTTGTTCTGGTACTTACAAACATCGGACCAAAGTTATAATACCATTTCATGCTCATGAAAGGTATAAAAAAGTAATTTTGCTGGCTGTTATCCCATGAGGCGATTTCTTAGAGGCTCGTATATAAGGCTGGCTGCACTGAACAATTGCTCACTTGTAACGCAGGCGGGTGGAGCGCTCAAATATTTACGGGCCAGATCCGTCAATTTGTCATTATACCCGAGCGCACTTGTGCACAAGGGTATATTAATTTTGTTCACATAACGGTTGTTTGTAACAGCCAAAACGAATCGAGATAGATATAGACAAATGTATACATATATG